TGACACCTTTAGATCGACTGAGTGCTCTATACATAACTTGAGGGCTTCCTGGCACAGGGGAGAGTAGCATGCACCCCTGTTGGTTGATATAGAACATCGCGGTCGTATTGTCTGTCATGACCGATACACATTGGCTTGCTAGAGACGGGTGGAATGACTGACAAGCTAGGCGTACCACCCTGAACTCCCTGACATTTATATGAAGCCTGAGATCTGTCTGTGACCGGAGGCCCTGCGTCCTGTGGTCCCCCAGATGAGCTCCCCACCCCAAGTCTGATGCATGCGTCACTAATGTCAGGGATGGTTGTGGGGCAACGAAGGAGACTCCTGAGCACACGTGCTGAGCGTCCATCCACCACAGGAGCAAGTCGAGGATAGGGCAAGGCAGGGTCACAGTCCTGTCCAAGCTGTCCCTGGCACATTCGGGAGGAAAGCCGGATGGGGCCTGAGCTGAACTGTACACTGACGCAAGCCACGACTGAAGCGGCCGAAGCCTGAGTCTGGCATGCCAAACCACATACGTACAGGCTGCCATGTGGCCGAGAAGTTTGAGACAATTTCTCGCAGTGGTGGTGGGGAACTGCCTGAGTCACTGGATCATGGTGTCGAGGGCCTGGAATGTCGCCTGCGGTGGGAATGCTCTGGCTTGGGTTGAGTCCAGAACTTCCCCTATGAACTCTATCCTCTGGACCGGGGACAGAGTCAATTTCGTTTCATTCAGTAGGAGGCCCAGATTCTTGAAGGTGGCTCTGATGAATGCCACCTGAGGTTCCACCTGAGACCTGGATCGGCCTTTGATCAGCCAGTCGTCGAGGTATGGGAACACCTGTATCTGATGTTTCTGCAGAAAGGCGGCGACGACTGCCATGCACTTGGTGAAGACTCGAGGTGCCGCTGACAGGCCGAAAGGGCAGATAGTAAGTTGGTAATGGGAACCGTTTACCTGAGGAACTTTCTGTGATTGTGCGCAATCACTGTGTGAAAATACACGTCCTTCAAGTCAAGGGCGGCATACCAGTCCGCTGGATCCAGTGAAGGAATAATGGAGGTCAGGGAGACCATGCGGAACTCCTGAGTTTCCTCACAAACTTGTTGAGGTCGCGCAGGTCCAGGATAGGCCTGAGGCTGCCTTTGGCCTTCGGTATTAGGAAATAGCAGGAATAGAAACCCTCGCCCCTGTGTTCCAGTGGAACCTCCTCCACCGCCCCAGTGCTAGGAGCGACTGCACCTCCTGAATGAGAAGTTGCTTGTGAGAAGGGTCCCTGAAGAGGAACAGGGAAGGGGGGTGGAAGGGCGGGAGGGCACAGAATTGGATGGAGTATTCCCTCTCTACCTTGCGAAGCACCTAGCAGTCCGAAGTTATACGGGACCATGAATGGTAGAAAGGGGATAGTCGGGAGGAAAAAGGTAAGGCGGGATGAATCCAGTCTCTGGTCTGGTGCGCCGTCCTCAACCACACCTTCAAAATGCCGGTTTAGGGCCAGAGGGCATTTTGGGCTTGCCTTGATTAGCGGAGGGATGTTGCCTTCTCCTACCGCTCCCGTTCCTCCAACTAGAATTGTCCTGCGGTTCTGCTGCTGGAACATTTGAGGAGGTTGTGGTTGGAAGTGTCTCTGCTGTGTGGCGGGGGTATGCAAGCCCAAGGATCTGAGGGTGGCTTGGGAATCTTTTAGGCTGTGGAGCCGTTTGTCCATCTTCCCTGAAAATGGAGCCTCACCCTCAAACGGGAGGTCCTGAATTGTTTGTTGGACTTCGTAGGGTAACCCTGAGACCTGCAACCAGGCCCCCCGCCACATAGCCACCCCTGTTGCCATGACTCTTGTGGCAGCATCGGCAGCGTCTAAGGCTGCCTGCAGTGAAGCACGGGAGACTAAATTTCCCTTCTTCCACCAAGGTGGTGAACTCTGACCGAGAGTCCGAAGGGACGAGCTCCGTGAACTTAGCCATGGAAGCACAGGTATTATAAAAGTACCTGCTCACAATGGCCTGCTAGTTCACAACACAGTGTTGTAAACCACCAGTGGAGTAGATTTTTCTACCCATGAGGTCCAGGCGTTTAGCGTCCCTATTCTTTGGGGAAAGACCTTGGAAACCTTGTCTCTCCCGCTGGTTAGCTGCATCGACGACCAGCGAGTCCGGAGGCGGATGGGAGTAGAGATGCTCAAAGCCTCTGGAAGGGACAAAATACCGGCGCTCATTGCGTTTGGCAGTGGGTGGCAGGGATGCCGGCATCTGCCATAGAGTCTTGGTGGTGTCCACCACCGTCTTTATGAGGAGTAATGCTACCCGTGAAGGTCCCAAGGGTGCTAGAATGTCCACCATGGGATCCTTGTCCTCAACCACCTCCTCGGCCTTGATGCCCAAACCTTGGGCAGCCCTGCAAAGCAACTGCTGTAGAACTCTGTTGTCCTCTAACACAGGAGCTATGGACGTCCCTGCCAACGCTTCGTCTAGCAGTGAAGAGGAGGAAGCGTGTGCCAGTGGTGGAAGCTCCCTGCTATCTGCCCTGGATGGGTCACGTGACTCCCGGGGCAGCGTTGGAGGTGGTGGTGCCAATGTCGGTGCCGGGGCCATAGGTGTCGTAGTCAACATCAGCATCAGTCTCACAGGAGAGAGTTGCATCGGCACGCTCAGAGGAGCCACCGGGGCCGGGGGGCCAGGTGCTTACATTGGCACCTGGGCTGTAGGTGCCTGCATCGAGGTCGACGTCAACAATGGTGCACGTGTGGGAGACTGGTGTGTCTTGCCGTCGCGAAGGCCATTGCCGAAGTCGGAGCCGAACACGGCGCCGTAGGGGAATGGCGTTGGGACCATAGGCACCGGGTACGTACGCACAGCGGAAGGTGGCACAACAGTGGCAGAAGCAACTGAAGACGTTGCTGAGCATGGGCCCTGGGTTCCTCTCTGGCCCTGGTGATAAGCCCAGGGAGTCCAGAAGGGCCACTGAGGCGGGTTCTGCCACTGCGGAGGCCACGCCTGATGCTCCCTTCTGTCTCTGCCCAACCTCGCTCTACGGTTTCTGCTCCTACTTGAGCGATAGGAGTCGGGCTTCGACTCCAAGGTCTCAGACACTGAAGACCACGGAGGAGCCGATCCTTGGTGCCTCAAACGTCGAGAGCTCAGGGAGCGGGAAGGCTTTCTGTCGGAGCATGTAGGTGCCGATGGACAAGGCGAAGGGGAGCGCCTCGACATCATAGCAGCTTTCCCTTGGAATGCACTGGAGGACGGGGCTCAGTCCGCACTGAGGGTTCCTCCCTGGCAGGCGAAAAAGGTGCCGTCAGGTGGAGGAGATCTCTGGCAACCTGATATGCTTCTGGCGTGGACGGGAGCTGAAACTGCTGCATAGGCGCTGGAGATAGAGGCGGGGCTGGACTCGACTGCCTCACCTAGACAGGAGTCGACACGGCCCCGGAAGGAGACGCCGAGGGGTCGCACTTCTCAAGGCTTAGCCGGAGGAGAACGGTCGTCTGGCTTTTTCTTCTTTTGAGTCACTGGCGAGTGGGAGCGGTGACTACTATCGGATGGGCCCCGTGAGGAGCCGTGTTGGTGCCGAGCGTCCATGGAGGAGTCCTTCCTCGGCGCTGAAGTCGCCGGGGCGCTCCGCGTCGAGGACGCTGCTGTAGGGGTCAGGTCTCTCAAGCCCGGGTCGGAATGGGGGCGCAGGGCTGCCTCCGTGAGAATCACCTTCAGCTGCTGTTCCCATTCTTTAAGCATTCTAGGGCGGAACTCACGGCAGATCTTGCAGCGATCTTTTTGATGGGTCACCCCCAGGTACCTAAGATACAATGAGTGCAAATCACGCTTAGGCATGCGCTTGGCGCAAGCCACGCAGTTCTTAAATCCCGGGGACTGCGGCATGCCATGGCGCCGGGGCTGGATTGGAGGGGACACCCCCCACACACTACTATACTAAACTTTAACTGGAGTACTACCAACAACTAACTATATACACAAAATAACGAAGAAACTTGCTGAGCAAGAGCTAAGGGACATTCCAGCCACCGTCACTGGTGGTAAGAAGGAACTGAAGGGGTGGGTGGGTCAGCAGGGCTATATATTAGGCGCCATGAGGACGCAACTCCAGGGGGCGCCCAGGCCGACCCGATGGGTACTGCTAAGGGGAAAGTCTTCTGGCCATCATGCACGTGCACACACCTGATTGGAATTGACATGAACAAGCACTTGAAGAACATCCAAGTTCTATCCCTCCTGTCTCTGGGAAGCGCCAAGGGCCATTCCATGCAGCAGAATGGCAAATGCAGTCCTAAGTGGCCAAACCAGGGATTTGTTAAAATATTCTTGGAGTGGGTTGATTTTTTCTGGGGTCTGTCTATAACTCTTCTACAAGATTTTCCAGAGTTTCTCTTGCTTTCTTCTCTGTAGGTCTCAGTATCCCTCCCAAAACACTGGTAACAGAATACTCAGTGCCCAAAACACCATTAATTTCTCAATGCATTTAATCCTTCTGCACACAAAGAATTAAGAAAAAAGAAGAACAGGAGTACTTGTGGCACTAAGAATTAAGAGAAGCCTCCCTGTATCTCCTTTTATTGTGCAATGTAATCTTGCCTTTTGTCCAGAAATATCCCGTGAGGAGGGACACTATGAGCCACTGCTATAAGGACCCTTCCCACAGGGAGCTGGGATGGTCCCTCTACATACATGCAGCTCCTCTAAGACCAAGATCAGTGTATAGTGCAGGAGGCAGGAACTAAGATGCAGACCAGAAACGAACATACATTTTAAAGTCACTGACTGGAGGCCGAGACTAAAGTGTTAGATTTATGCAGTGGGGAGTCCCTGGCCTCACTTAATATGTATTGTGTATATTCCTACAGAGCCCGTGCACACACTTTGAAACTTCCACTGCACATCTGTGCATCTCTGCATGGATTTAGGCTCTGAGCCAAAGACTGGTTTCCTGAATCAATGCAGCTCTCTGATTTTCAGGCACTAGGACCCAGGGGGAGCTTGAATCTCATATGAGTCAGTGCTGCTCTCACCCCTCAGAGCAGTGAATAAGGCTGGAGAAGCAGAGTGTGTGTGAATGGCTCATCTGATTTGGGAAAGTGTCCACAAACTAGGATACTACGGTCTACGGAACAGCTTGGGCACCCCTTAGGATTCCATCTCCCAGTGGTGTTCAGGGTACAGCTCGGAGGTGAGTGACAACACTCTGATCAAAGGGTTTTCACAAAGCAATCACAATGGTTGTTGTAGAAGTTTGGGATTTTTATATTTAGCAAACATGGTTTTGGTGTACTCTGATCCTTATCCTCCTGGATGGGGGCAGTCCAGATGTGTTTGAAAGATGGATTATACTGGCTGTGACTAGAAAGTAACATTTATGCAAAAAGCCTGATATTTTTCCCATATTTTGGTTGGTGTATTGAGACTTAAAATGGACCTAATATGGGTTGGACGTCATGCTTATCTGGAAGGCTTCAATAAGCGTTTGTGGCTAAGTTAAAAACCTGTGACATCCTTACAGAGCAGCCCAGTCTTAAACAAATACAAGGATTCTCTCTCATCTGTTTCCACCCTTTTAAATCAGACTAATTTAATGTTCACAGGTACCTCTAAGAAATCACCATTACCCTGCTCGTTTCAGGGAATTAGGCTCATTTAACATTAGCCACATTTTTCCTAAAACAATCCTACCTTAGTTCAGAAAATGTTCATTATCAGAACTGAACTGTGGTGCAAGCTGAGCAGAATTGATTCAAGGCTATCAGACATTGGCAGAAGCAGCAGTTCACCAGAGATACAAATTCTCTAGGTTCACATGGAAAAGCTTACAAACTCCTTGTTGTCTGCCTGCTGTGATAGGATGAAACTGTTTATTTATTTGTATTTGGTGATAAAGCTGTTTTATATAGAAGAGACACTAATCAGGGAGACAGAGATGGGGACCCGTCAGGAAAAGGGAAAGAATTGGGGAGCTCAGAACAAAATGTAACTTGATAAAGTTTGTGCGCACTTTGGGGGTTTCTTCCTTCACTTTAAATTCTTATTACATGCTCCAGAACTTTTAGGGAAAAAAATAGTAAGCTTGCTTGTCAGGCTGGTTTTTCCAAATTGCCACAACTTGGAAGTTGCTCTGTAACTGTTAGGAAAATAATTCATGGGTGTTTTCATGCCTTGAAGCGTAGCACAGTAAAGCCTCTTGGGTACTTTTTGATATAAGCTAAAACAAAATGCATGAGTTCTCCTCTGCACCCCAAGACAGTCATCTGAGGGTCCTGCCGAAGTGCACATTGGTTACAGTTCTGAGTTGCTGCATACATTACAGAAAGAAGTTCCTTTAAAACAACAACTCTGTCAACTGCTATGTCATGTGCGTCAAACTCGCAAGCTTGCTGTGGTGTCAGTACTTTCTCAAGAGGACTGCAACAATGGGATCAATGGCCAAATTAAATGGACTGTCCAAATGAGTAAGAGAAGCAGGATTTGGCCCTCAAATGCATGAGTCATTCTATAATAAATCTCAGCAGGATCTGGAGAGATCTTACAGCAAGACAGTAACTTTTCTGTTGAGTATATGTAAAGTAGTAGGAGTTATTCAACAACCTGAGAAATGCAGACAACTCACCCTAAAGGGATCTATCTATTTCACAATGTAATAGCAGAGGAAGTAGTGATGACTATATTGCTCATTACTTTCTCTGAGTGTTGCTACGCAATGTTAATTTCTTCACTCAAAATTTAAGAATTCCTCTTCTCAGCTGTGTTCTTGGGCTTTCAGTTAAGAGTTACACAAAGCACAATGGCTTATTCCATCACATGTATTAAATAAAAACAGTTGCGACCCTAATTCATTACAGTCGTTACCCACTTGCTTTAAAATGTGCATCAAAAATTTGTGTTTAGAAAAACTGAACATGTTTTTGGAGGTCAGTGTTACGCTAACTGCCCTTCCTTTAAGGAGCAAATAGAAGAGATATCGCTGGGGCACATGTAGGGACTAAAGCTGTGCAAAGTGAAGGCTGCAGCAGCGTATTAATGGGTAGATTAGATCGCAAAAGCTCATATATGACTCCACTTGCTTTGGTCATGTATATGGTGCTCCCTTTTACTCTTAATTTGAATTTAAAGAAATAAAAATTTAAAAAACCATTTGAAAATCCTAATACATTTTAATGAACATTTCTTGCATTCTGACCACCTCTTCTAGTTTAAATTATAACGGCTATTCTTACATGTACTGGGGAATTATATACTTGTAGTTTTAAGGCAGTAATACAGTTTTGTAGTTATTTTAGGACCAACTCTGCCTACATTACTTATACTTGAAATAAAATCTGTAGTAGAAGATTGAAATTAAATCTCACCACCAATAAAATCAGTCCAATATTGGTAGAATTAGAGATTTGAGTGTCATTAAAATCTCTGCCCTACAAAAGCAAATGAAGACAGGATCTTTCAAACCATCTAAAGCAATGGTGACCTCTGCTGGCAATTGCCATCTCATCACCATGAGCGTAATGGGTTTATTTGATAAAATGTAGAAATTGCTCTAGATTTCATTAATGAACAGCTCTAGTGGTGTCTGCACATCTATGTGCGTGTATACATCTGTGATGAACAATAGAGCCCATTATACACATATCCCACTTCTGAAAACCAGGGGCAGAGATGTTTCTCTAAGTTTCCTCCAGCAAGTCTTGCAATACTGTGTTCAGTCCATTGTTGGGGAGTAATTTTAGCACTAACACTTTCGGGGGAAAATCTGCTGCCTGAACTGTCATCATTTGAGATGGAAATAGTTGACTTCACTATAGGCTAAATATTAAAAGATGCAATGGCCTGGAATTAATTCCCCAAATGGAAGCCGAGTAAAAGCTCTGGCTCAGTGTCCTGTTGGATTTTCTGCTTATGAGATTGACGGCACAGGGGACTGACACCCAGCCTGATCCATATGTAGCTAGTAGGCCAGATTCTCAGCTAGATTGAATGGGTGACTTTAGTGTAAATACACCAATTTATACCAGCTGAAAATCTGGCCTCCTGAAGGAACAGGAACTCCTATAGGCAATGTAGACCACCCATAAGAATGGAAACATTCATCCACTAGCAAGAAGTAACTAAGGCAATGAACCAGAGAATACTCGAGACTTGTGAAGGAGATGGGATCTACCTACTGAAGTGTTTTCTACATGGAAGGCAGTTCATCGATTAGAAACATAAGATTTGGACTCCATAAGGGTCCCCGGCAAGAATTGCAACTTGTGGAACAGAAAAGCACCAAATCATGCTGTGAAAAATATTTTCCTAAGTGAAGTGCCCTAAAAATTCATAAGTTTTAACTCTACCTTTTAAATTAACTCCTCCCCAAGTTCCTGTAAAAATAAAGCTCAGTAAAATCTACGTTTGGAACCTCAATCAATGGGAGTTAGGTGCCTAAATACCTTTAAAAAAAAATCAAGCCTCAATGCTTTATTACTTGTACAATAGGAATCAATGTAGTCAAACACTACAGAACCATTTCTGCTCTAGATATGGCTTCATAAAACCCATTAACATGATTTGTGCGCACACACTGAGAGCACCTGGGCCTTATTCTCACTTGTACAAAGGCTTGATTACAGCATACTGACAGCAAAGAGAGGCTAGAAAAGGGGTGGAAATTACATTAAGGTCCTTTTACACTGCCAAAGTGCTGCAAAGAGGCCAAAGGGTCTGAGTTTCATTTACCCTAATTATTTTAACATGTAAAATACTGTGTGGTCTTGCAGAACACAAAGCTCACTTTAAGTCAGGCTGTTATTTCATTGATGGTAAAATTATACCAACTGTATTTGGTTTGTTTAAAGCAGTGGTTCTCAAATTGGGGGTCAGGACCCATCAGGGGGTCACAAGGTTATTACATGGGGGGTCATGAGCTGTCAGCCTCCACCCCAAACCCTGCTTTGCATCCAGCATTTATAATGGTATTAAATATAAATTTTAAACACTTTTTTATATAAGGGGGGGGGTCGCACTCAGAGGCTTGCTATGTGAAAGGGGTCACCAGTACAAAAGTTTGAGAACTACTGGTTTAAAGACTAACGGCAAAGAAAAATGAATGATATAGGCAATGTGCATTCATTTATTCACTGTAAAAAGAGGTTCATACCAGGGCACCAAAAAATATTTATTCAAGAGCAGGGAGGATGATGACTAAAGAACTGCAGAAAACTCCTAACAAAACTACATAATAGGTCAATTTGAGGGCAGCTGTAATTCAGGAGAGTCATGTTCAATGTTCTGCATGCTGGAAAAAAAAGGATATCTGTATATAGTGGTGAGGTTTGTAAGTAAAGTCTAAGGAAGAATTTCATTGTCAGCATGGGATGCTCAAGACAGAGATCTGCCAAATGTGCAACAAAAATAAGGAGATAAATAATAGCAAGGAAATAGTATAGAAAAGTTAATACAACCCTGCCGTGAATACTGCATCATAGCTGGAATATATGCAGCTGAAATAAAAGTCCAGAGAAAGGCAATGAAAATAATGGGGCTCTGGGTACAAGGGGATCTTCAGCATGAGGAGAAGAATATTCAAGGTGGTATAAGAGGCATGAAATGCTGAACAGACAAGGGTAAGGGGGCACTGTAATTAACTCTTTCCTGAAATACCAGAGTAAGAGAGCACTTGAAGCTCATAGATTCTAAGCCCAGAAGGGATCACTGTGATCATCTAGTCTGACCTCCTGTAGAACAGAGGCCACACAACTTACCCCAAATAATTCTTTGAACTACAGCATCTCTTTAAAACAAAAAGAAACTAATCTTGATTTAAATATAGCCAGTGATAGAGAATCCATCAAGACCCTTGGTAAATTGTTCCAATGGTTAATTACTCTCACTGTTAACAATTTACATCTTATTTCCAGTCTGAATTTGTCTAGCTTAAACTTTCAGCCATTGGATCTTTTTATACCTTTGTCTGTTAGACTGAAGACCCCCCCCCATTATTAAATATTTGTTCTCCATGAAGGTGCTTATAGATTGTGATCAAGATGCCCCTTAATGGTCTCTTTATTAAGCTGATTGAGATCCTGGAGCGTAACTATAAGGCACGTTTTCTAATCCTTGAATCATTCTCATGGCTTTTCTCTTAACCTTGTCAAATGTATTAACATCCGTCTTGAACTGTACACACAAGAATGGACTGCGTAT